TCTATACCGATATTAGTTTTTAATTTTCTATGCGAAGAAAAGTTGGATTGTTGAGCTTACTTCCATTTCGAGTGTAAGTGTTGGGTGAAGAGATTCGAAGGTCGGTTCCATCACCAGAAGACGACGGCGGATTCCTGTTGACCAGCTGTCGATCGGCTTTACTGCAAGATTCATGCTGACGCTGTTTCCGAGGCAATCTCCTTCGATTCCGGTGAAAAGATGATTAGCTTTCGTCCGTCACATGAAGAACATCATCAGAGCGAGGTATCATCGTCACAACAAAAATCAAGCTAACGAGTCAAGGAGTTTTCGTGACTTCCGATTCTCTTCACCCAACACTTTGACTCGAAATGGAAGTAAGCTCAACACTTTTTTGTTGGCTTAACTGAGTCTATATAAGTGGTAAGACAAAGCCGGATAGTCTCCTTGCTTTAGTGTTAACGTAATGACACTCAGCTCTGATGATGTCCATCCTTTGCTGGACGAAAGCTTAGCCTGTTTTCACCCGAAACGAGGGAGGAAGTCAACATAAACGTCGAATAAAAGCCAAACGGCTGCATTACAACGCAATTCATCCATCCTCATCTAGTCAGATCGACCAACGAATCTCTTCTTCATGCACTTTCATACGAAATGAAGGTCCCCCTACCAATAAGGCTTACCTATTTCGCATTATAGCCTAAAAAAAGGGCCAAATCTTCATGTTGCTGACTTACTTACCGTAAGGGATATGCATTCGGCGCTTCTGCGTTCCCTGCATCTGCACGATTTTCGCAGTTGTGGCTGAACTCCTCGATATCTGCAAGGAAAAAGTTAACAGCGAAGTTAATTGGCTTCTGTATCACATTGCGTTTCATTGTGAAACACGATGTTTGCTAGCTACCCTCCATTGAATGCCACTCGTCCCTTTCTACTATTATTATTATACTCCTCAAATCAGCTTATTCGAATTGGGCCGTTATGATGGGGTTTTCCAGTTTAGCTTTTATGTGCTGTCCTCATCTCGTCTCTTACCATTTTCAATTGGGGGCGACTGGTCACTATGACCGTGTGTGTGTGTGGAGCGGTCAGAACATGATGGTCCCCATTCCATTTCATGCTATCGCATGCATGTGGCGGGTTCGAAGCTAAGGCTGGGGTCTAATACTTTCCTTGATCAGGCGACACTTCAAGGTTCGTGAGGCCAAATGAGCTTAACTTTCACGGACTGAAGTAAAGATGCCCAAACCCCGAAGTGTTCTCGAAGGTATGAAGACCAAGATGGTGTGTTCTTTTGTGTGGTTGCAGTCTCCTTTCGTTGTATACAAGTTGTTTCACCTTGTTTTCGCAACTCGGTCATGTTGGTAGGAATGTACCACGTCCACGGTCCCACTCTGTGAATGATCATGCATACAATGAACTCCAACTAGGTACGTTCCTATAAGTCTTCCTACCAACATGACCGAGTTGCGAAAACAAGATCAAACAACCAAAGTATTCTATTGTAAGTTGGGCTGTCAATCCCGAAGTCTAGGACTTACGGAGTCTAATGCATACACTCAAGTGCATATAAACACATTTAACTATTCAACGGTAACTACTCGCAAACGTTTGGACAAAGATGGAGAGGAGGCTGGGTTGAAGCAAGGAAGTGGAGAGGCCTTTTCGGATTTGAGGCTGTTTGACTGGACTGGATGAAAATGTGTGGGATACATCGAATTAATCTAATCTGTTTTTTTTGTTCGACTGTTGGGGCCGATGTATGATTCACTAATTAGAACCGGCAAATTGAGCGGAATCAGCAAAAGAAGGACGAGTCTACAAGTGGCCTCCCAGTCGGAAATCAAGTCGACACAAGCATAGACTATGGGATTGTTGGAAGATGCTTGTCATATTTGACTCTGAATTATTTTTGACTATTTCGGCAACTTTGCCTCTTTTTGTGGGAGTACAGTTCTGGTATAGCATCAACTCTGTGGAGTTGAGTTATGGTGCAAACGAAAGACAGATTATCTGCTTCGAAGCAGAGAAAAGTAAGCTTTTCTGCTGAATTTATAGTTGATGAGACGGAAGATCTACTCACTTCGCTGCATAAATGGGTCAGCTACGGAAGAAAGCGATACAGGCTTTGATGCCTCCAGATATTCTCGTCTCGACAGAGGTTCATTCATCATGAAGTTTGAACACTGAAAGTAGAAAAATAATGAGTGTTGTAGGAAAA